GAGGTTCACAAAGTGGGCAGTACTTCTCTCCCCCCCCACACTGCTAAGGGCAGTGTTTTGGGTATTTTGCTTTTAAAATGTTTAGGCATACTCTCATCTTCCTACTCATATTGAAATACTGCACCTCAATAAGGCCAAACTTAGATTCACAAAATGTTTAGGGGTATGCGTACCCCTGCATCTCCCCCCCCCCCAGAAAAAAGCACTGCCTAAGGGGTACTAAGAGGTAAGGGGGAAGGTGGCAGAAAATGACTACCAGACTTTGAAAGGCTGGCATCACTGGATCACATTCATCAGTTTTGTTGAATGAATTAAACTTAATTGTTTTAAATGGATTATGAATAATTGTGCAATCAATTGTTCCTTGCTTTGAATTCTATTGCGTTATTATCTTCTGTGGGTCGTGCAAACCACTATTCTGAATCATGTTTCTTATACGGTAGGGAGCACTAGGGAAGAGTTTATGGGACCAAGAGGGTGGTGAGCTGATAAAGTTTGAGAACCACTGTTCTGTTTGTTGCTCCACCTTTCCTGCACATATCCTATCACGTTTCCAGAAAGGGAGGAGCACAGAGAGAAGAAATGTCGTGGTGCACCTGAAGCAGCAAAACAGGATGCCTTCATCTACCCAACCTGCAACAAACATGTCTCTCCCGTATCGGTCTCTACAGCCACAGCAGGTGCTGTAACTCTCCAACAGTTTGACTTTACCCCCAAAGGCACACTCTTCCATTGTCTCCAGAGACAGATGGATGCCAACAAAGATACATGCGATGGCTACAAGGTGGAATGGAAAATAATGCCTTCTTACATCTCTAGTCTTAGTCTTAAACTGCAAATAGGATCTAATTGTGTACCTTAAAAAGTAGTGCATGAACGAGAACAATAACATGTTTGAAGACATGGGACTCCTAGCCAGGTTTGTCACCGGTGGCACGAAAGGATAGGTGGATCTGTTCATTTCAGTTCTCTGTTTCTCATTTTTCTGAACTAAAATTCAGTTCCCTGCATCCCTGCAGATAGTTGCATTTTTAAAAATAAAAAACCCTCATGAAAATTCATCTGCATTTCAATGCAGATTTCTCCCAATAAACACATTCTTGTATGCAGGGCTTTTTTTTTTACGATGATACTTATTTTTTCAAGCAACTTCCCGTAATATGTTTTCCCCCCTCACTTATATATTCATTTTCTCTTATGTATTCATTTTTACATGAATAAACACATGTTTGGTTGGAGAACTGCATTGCAAAACTCAGAAAAGTGTGAATTTCAGAGGATGGCTGTGTCTTTGTTCTCACCCTGTTTCATAAATAGGTTTGTTTTTGAATGTGAAATGAATCAAATTTCTCCTCCATCCCTAGTGATAAGCCTGCATTTACTCCTGTGTAACACCTGGAATAGCAGTTTTATTGAATGCAAACGGCCTGCATTGACATTCATAAAGCAGGCTCTGCTAGACGGTTCAGTTTTCCCTCAAAAAAATGCCCCCAGATTCCCCTGTTGTGACTTGGTTGTCCACCTGCACAAGGTTCTGTTTCTCCTGGGTCTACCTCTCTCGTCGGCTATTCCTGAAACCGAAGATGCTGCCACTGATGCCCCTGAAAGGTGGGCGATAAAAGGTCAAACTTGATGTTCCTGTGAGGTTCCCCTGCACTTCTGACACCAGTGTGACACCCACTCACATGCCTCCTCCCTATCTTTAAAGATTTACAAGGGCAGCAGTAAGCACTTTCCCAGTTCTTTATTAATAAGGCTGTAATAAAAAATGTGTCAGCATTCCTTCACTGAAGGCGAGCGACGTCTTTCCTAAGCCAAAGGGGGATTTAGTCCTCCCTGAGAGGTAGATTTTTATCGGTGGTCCTTTTATCGCTTTTCCTTTGTTACCCTGCCTCGAGGCTTCCTCCTTCAAAGTGTGAACTGAGGCACTCTGATGGGGCGAGCCCATAAATCTCTCTTTTCTAATCCTTTCTTTTCTCATATTTTCAAACTAAAGGAAGCAGAGAGACTCCAGCCATGGCCTGAATGGACCCCGTTTTCTGTGGCAGATTAGAGCACAAGTGTAATGGCTAATTCAGAAGTGGAGAGTCCAGGGCTTGTTTTCAGCCAGAACTCTCTGGAACTCAGTTTCGGCACCTCTCAAGTGGGCACCATTGCCATTGTAAGAGAACAAGGGAGGCATCTGTGGTGACTTCCAGCATGTCATGGTCTGGTTTAAGGGCGGTTGAAGTCCTGGCAGAGGACGTTGGGACCGGGGGCAAGACGGTGGGGTGGGAGCAGGAATGGGAGTCCGGAAGCCAGGAATCAGGGAGCCAAGAGTCCCGCGGACAAAGAGCTAGGAGTCAAGAAACCAAAGGTCCAAGGATCAAGAAGCAAGGAGTTACAAAGTCAAGGGTCTGAGGATCAAGAAGCAAGGGGTCAAGGAGCCAAACGCAGCAAGGCAAGAAATGTGTTGCTGCGGCAAAGAGCTGAAGGGAAATGCTGACCTTATACCCCTTCCTGGCTCTTGCCACCAGGTGCTGTGAGTTACCAAGCGGCCTCACCTGTGCGGCCGCACCTTGCCTCTTCAGAACAAACTTAGGAAGGCCCCAGTCCTGCAAAGTCCTACTGGTCACAGGGCCTGGCTCCTGCACGCACTTCTGACGCAGCCCCTCTTTTTCTAGAAAAATAGCACTGGCACAGTCCCTTCATGATAGTCAAAGCCACACCCCTTTCTAAGATTGGAAAATCTTCCAAGATTATACAGCAGTTTTATAATTACACAGTAAAAAGAATTATGGATGCATTGCCATGATCAGTTCAGACCTCCATGTGTTGCATTTCTGCTAGAGTGACTATTTTCTGAGGTTTGTCTCAGTTCGGGAGTAATAGAGGATCCACTGCAGAAGATATGGGGAAGGGGATTCCCTATCAGTTTAGCGGAGGGTGAGAGGAATTATGAGCTCAGAGACTTGGAGACAAAAGCTGTGTTTGTTATGTTGGGTCAACATGAAAAATTCAGTCATCACTCCACAGGCATATGAGAACAGAGCTGGCTCTTCCATTTGGCAATGGCCCCAGGTAGAGAGACTAGCAAATTTACATGCACCCATGCACACACCATTAGTGTAGCGACAAGTGCAGGGTTACTTCATGATAGTCACAGCCATGCCTCTCATAGCCAAACCCTGTCACAGCTGCAGCTGGTGCTTTAAATACTAGAACCTGCACACCATTCTCTCAAAACCTTTGTTGCCAGTGTTCCTAAACGCTTAGCTTTGGAGCATACAGAGCAACAACTTCTAGCTGTTCTTCCTGCACATCTTTTCCAGAGGGACCCCAGGAGCCAGTCCTCAGGGGCTGACTCACCTCCTTTCCTCCGACTGGCTCCAGTCAGCACAAAGCTTGAGACGTCTTCTCCTCTGGGGATAAAAAGCTCCCCTTCCATGCTGATTGGGTGGCTCTCGGATGCCAGAGACAGGGACCTTGCTGCAAAAATAGTACTGGGTCCTCAGTCCCCTGGGATCCCAGGACACAACACCTCTGGCTGAAAGTTCCCTAAGCTAAGTGGTGGTAGAAGGCAGGGCCGTCTTACCCATAGGCTCTAGGGGTGCAGGGCACCTGGGTGCTGGGCTCTCAGGGGCATCAGGCCGAGAGTCCGGGGCCCGAGAGTTGACTCTGGGGAAGAGCCCGCCTATCGGTCGGAGCGCCACAGCAGGCTCTTCTGCTGTGCCACGAGTTTGGGGGCAACCGAGCCAGTGAGATGCTGAGGCGCCAGCAGGCTCCGCCCTCCTGTGCACCTGGGATTGGGCAACCTGGGGGGGGGGGGTGCTGGGCAGATTTTTGCACTCCGGTGCCGCATATGCTTAAGACAGCCCTGGTAGAAGGTACGTCAAAGTGGGCAATAATATCTCGTCTTGGTGGATAGGAGTCTTGTGCTTTGTGACTATAAAGGACTGCTGCTGCTGCTGCCCAGGACTGACCTGCTGGGAGCTGGAAGGGCCCTGCCCAGCCTCTCTCCACCTGGCTTGGGACGGGGCCTGACTGACTCCATAAAGGACTGCTGCTGCTGCTGCTGCTCAACAGAGAAGGCTCCTTCTTTAAATTTATTTTTTTATTTTTTTATCTATGTCATTTTAAATTATTATTGATATGAATGTATTTTTAGTTAGATTTCATGATTTATGTGGAAATTGTTTTCCATTTGGTTGTGTATCTTTTGATGTGTTTTATTTATTGTTTATGACTTTTGTTATGTTGGTAATTATGTAAATCTTGTCATGTTGTAAGCCGCCTTCAGCATTGTTTTAACTATGGAAAGGCGGCTTACAAATAAAATGATGATGATGATGATGATGATGATGATGATGACGACTATCCCAAAGCACTATCCCAGTGTAATCCTTAACCATGACTATTGAAATCAATGGGGCTTGCTCCCACGGAAGTGGGGTTAGGGTTGCAGCTGGGGATGGGGGACAAATCAGATTCAGTTACCATTTAAAGGTGAGCCTATTTAATTAGCACACAAGACTGAAAATGCTGCTGGGGACTGAATCTGGAAACTGTTTTTAATAAAAGCATATACACTGGTACCTCGGGTTAAGTACTTAATTCGTTCCGAAGGTCCGTTCTTAACCTGAAACTGTTCTTAACCTGAAGCACCACTTTAGCTAATGGGGCCTCCTGCTGCTGCCGTGCCGCCGGAGCACGATTTCTGTTCTCATCCTGAAGCAAAGTTCTTAACCTGAGGTACTATTTCTGCGTTAGCAGAGTCTGTAACCTGAAGCATCTGTAACCTGAAGTGTATGTAACCTGAGGTACCACTGTATTGAAATTTAATCAATAAAAAATTATGGCAAAAAGAGAACCTTTTGCATGCAAAGTAGATGATCTGCCACTGAACCACAGCCCTTTCCCTTAGAAACTTTGGTAACTGCCTTTTATTGAGTCATAAGAACCTAAGAATCGCCCTGCAGGTGGATCAGGCTGAGGCCCATCTAGTCCAGCATCCTGTTCTCACAGGGGCCAACCAGATACCCCAAGGGGAAGCCCCAAACCAGGAGCCCAGCTCAAGAGCAACCTCTCCTCATGTGGTTTCCAGCAACTGGTATTCAGAAGCATTGCTGCCTCTGACTGTGGAGGCAGAGCATGGTCATCATTGCTGGTAGCCAATGAATTGGTCCAGCCCTCTTTAAAAGCCATCCAGGTTGGTAGCCATCTCTCTTTCCTGTGGGAGTGAGTTCCATAGTTTAACTATGTGCTGCATGAAGGACTTTATTCTCTCTGCTCTGAATATTCCAACATTCAGCTTTCTTGGGCACCCACAAGTTCTGAGAGAGGGAGGAAAATATTTATTCTGTCCCACTTTCGCCATGCTGTGCAACATTTTATAAACTTCCATGATGTCACCTCTTTCTTGCTTTGTCTCTAAACTAAAAAGTCCCGAATGTTGCAACTTTTCTTCCTAAGAGATCATCCCCCTGATCAAGACAAATTCCACCTGCCAAAGTAAAGGAGTAAAAGAAAAGATCAGGTCAAGACCACTGAGAATTCCTAGAAGTGAATATGGCAGGAGGGTAGGAAAACAGAGATCCAGGAACACCAGTCTTACAACATCCCCATTCCTCATCTTTGCTCCAAACTTCTCCATCTCCAGAGCGCAGCCCAGTTTGAAAAACAGAGTTTTGCATCCATTTCATCATAAAGGATTGTGCGACCTTTTAAGGCCCGGATTTATAAACCGCGGCGAAAGGCCTCGTGACGGGCAAGGGTCTGCTTCTGAAATTGAACAAATTGTCGTTTTATGGCTCCTGCGTGCTGAGGGCGCCATAAATCGTGCTGCATTTAAAGCATCTGCTCTTTCCCAGCCGCACTCCCGGCTCCTTGAGAAGGAGGAGGAGAAATGTCTGACATTTCCTGACGTTGGCTATAACGGGGGCCTCTGGGGAGCCCCTCGGAAAAGTTTTAAAAGCAGTATTTATGGATGATCACCATGAATCAGGGCCCTAAAAGGTAAGGCACAGCCTGTTCTTCATTAAAGGTTTGGAAATTCTGCACTGAGATTTTCCCTGCGGGAAGACAAAAGAAATTGAGTGAAAGAGAAATGACTTTAGAGTTAAGCCAGATCTAACCCCCTCCTCCTTTCATTCTTTTTCTTTTTCTTTCAGCTTTTTTCCTTTCTCCTTTTCACCCCCCCCCATTATTATTTTTCTTTGTACTTGTTCATTGTCTATTTTTCTATTCCTTTTTCCCCCTTCCCTGTTATTTGATCATTGAAGTATGTTGCACCTGACTGTGGAGGCTCCATTTCCCAATGGATTTGTCTAGCCCCTGCCCCTTTTTGAAATCTGAAAAGACACCCCTCAGCACACACAGAGGCATTCGCTGTGGCAATTCGAACTTCTATTATGGAGTCCGCTCCTGTCAGAGTCAGGCCAATCTAGCTGCGAGGCTCTCCTGAAAGCCGTGGCGTATGAACTTTGTGTTTGGGTTGCCTTTCAGTGGCTGAGTCCTTTTTAATTACCTTTTTAATGTTTGAATCATTTGGGGGGATTGATGTTGTGTTGAAGCTTCCAGGGAACGACGAATCTCAGTTGAGAGTCTTCTGCTGGTTCAGTTATATGGGAATATTTTACATCCTAAAATAAGAGGCTGGATGTTGATCTTCAACTTTCAACAATGAGGAATTCCTCATTTCTAAGTTGGTTTTGATGAACTAAAGAAACAATATAATTTGGAGATTTTGTCACCAACATCTCTACTATTCATTCATTCCAGATTCAGGTTCACCAGGGGTGGGGATTGTATTTTGGTATATCTGGTGTTTTTATCATCACCATCATTAATTAATTTATTAAATTTATATACTGCTCTTCATCAAAAGATCTCAGGGCAGTTCATAAGTTTTTTGGCTGCAAGATGTTTTATTTCATATGTGGCTTTTTATTGAAATTATATGAGTCTCTCTCACGCACACTTTAACCTTTTATTATTGTATTGCAGTGATGTATGGAAGCATCGTTTTCCCATTCTGTCCTGTGTTTGTCACAAGCAGCCCTGCTTCTTTTGCTCCAAAGTTATATCTCCCACCCAAAAGGACGTTCCTCGTCTCGCTGTCGCAAAATTGCATAGCTTATGCATACCATACTTTTCCATCTGTAAGACTATTTGGAGACTCAGATTTAAGAAATGGGGGGAGATGGCACAGAGTTGTTGAGTTTTTTTAGGGGGGATTGCCAGAAATCACTCATCTCCTGTCTGTCCCATTGCCGGCAGAAGCTGCCAATCGCCCCCCAAACTGCCAGAGCGTCAGCCAATCAACACCAAACCATTGATGCAGCAATCAATAATACACACAATACCTTATGCACTACCCATATATAAGACGACCCCCACTTTTTTGCATGATTTTTAAATTAAAAAACATAGTCTTATACATGGGAAAGTATGGTAATTAATTTCATAAGTTCCAATGCCATCATTTTCAGAATGAAAGCAACAGCGACAGCAGCAATTTTTTTAATTTATATTTTATAGAAATTTTTCCGTGGACAAATAAAGTGAAAGAAATGGGGGGGGGGTGGACACACCCCAAAAGGTACGTGAAACTTTAACAGAATACAATACATAGGTATATACCGTATTCTTCGCTCTATAAGACGCACCAGACCACAAGATGCACCTAGTTTTTGGAGGAGGAAAACAAGAAAAAAAAATATTCTGAATCTCAGAAGCCAGAACAGCAAGAGGGACCACTGCGCAGTGAAAGCAGCAATCCCTCTTGCTGTTCTGGCTTCTGGGATAGCTGCGCAGACTGCATTCGCTCCATAAGACACACACACATTTCCCCTTACTTTTTAGGAGGGAAAAAGTAAGTCTTATACAGCAAAAAATATGGTAAATAATTGTATACTCATTGGGCAGCAGTGAATATCGATCATATTCACTGGATTTATTTCTGTTCCTGACATGGGATAAATAAGCAGAGGTGGGCAATTTCTGCTCCTGTTCCTCTTTTCATCCGAATTCTCCGACAATTCTGTGATATTGTAACACCACAGATTTCTTTATATCGTTTTAAGGTCCCATTGGCTTTGCCTGGGGCTTGTTTGTTTGTTTGTTTGCTGTTGTCTTTAGAACTGCCTTTACACATAGTAACCTCCTCCCCAAAAGTGCTAGAATTAGCAGGTTGGCTGTCATAAGTTTTTGGACTGTGTTTCAGTTCTAGCAATGTTACACCCCCACTCCACCTCCCCGGCCTTTCCCCTTCTTTCCCTTTCAAAGTTTCCCTTGGAATGTGCAACGAAACCTGCCTCAAAATAACACTGGGCTGCTGCCCAGCTGGGGGCGTTGTAACTTGGAGCAGAGCTCTCTGTGTGTGCTGCTTTAATTCATAGATAAGAGCAAGAGAAAGAACCCAGCTGGATCGAGGCAAAGGAGGCCATCTAGTCCAGCATCTTGTTCTCACAGTGGCCAAGGAGATGCCCCAAAGGGAAACCCAGAGAGCAAGAGCCCTCTCCCCTCCTGAGGTTTCCGATAACTGAGATTCAGAAGCTTCCTCCAGGCAGAATGTGACATAACCATCATGGCTAGTAGCCATTGAAAGCCTTAGCCTTTGTCCAACCATCTTTTAAAGCCATCCAAGCTTTGTGCATATTCCACCAGGAATAAATGAAACAAGAAGCCATTCTATTGTTATCCTCCATAAACTCCCGTTATAGGTGGTAGCCATCACTGGCAGGAAAGGCCACAGTTTAACTGTGTTAAAAAGGCTTCCTTTGGCCTCCTTCATTGGATGAGCCCGGGTTCTAGGGTTGCGTGGTTGCAGCCATTCATTTAAAGCTCAGGACCGCAATGCAGTGGTACCTCAGGTTAAGAACTTAATTCGTTCTGGAGGTCTGTTCTTAACCTGAAACTGTTCTTAACCTGAGGTACCACTTTAGCTAATGAGGCTTCCCACTGCCGCCATGCGATTTCTGTTTTCACCCTGAAGCAAAGTTCTTAACCCAAGGTACTATTTCTGGGATAGCGGAGTATGTAACCTGAAGCATCTGTAACCCGAGGTACCACTGTACCTCAAGGACCGCCTCTTCCCATATGAACCTACCTGGACCCTGAGATCATCTTCTGAGGGTGGCAACACGAGAACGGGGCCTTCTCGGTAGTGGCTCCCCGTCTGTGGAATGCTCTCCCCAGGGAAGTTCGCCTGGCACCTTCATTATACACCTTTAGGTGCCAGGCAAAAATGTTCCTTTTTAACCAGGCCTTTGGCTGACCTGATTGACAACCTATATCCTTTTAAAATGTGGCTCTTTGAGGGGGGTGTTATTGTTATTGTTATTGTTTTTATTTTATACATTGTGATCTTTTCTGTGAACCTCCTTGAGACCGCTGGATATAGAAACATGGCATGGAAGATCCACTGAAATGTGTAGGAATGTTGAGGGTGGCAGGAGAGGATATGTATTATTTATTAATATCCTTCCTAACTTGTGCTCGCAAGTTTCTTCACTTAGCAGAGTGCATTCCCCTTATTACACAGCTGAAAGCTAGTTGCACATTCTCAGCTGAAAGTGAGTTTCTTAAGACAATAAGCAATTCAATCTGGCTTGTCCAGATTGAGATATGTTCTAATATTCCTGGTAAGACCCCTTTTGAATCCCTCCTAAAAGAATAAAGACACCACAGTCTTGTTCATAAGTAACAAAAAGTAGTTTTACTCACGATCAGGCAGAGCACAGTGTGATCCCTGAAGGCAGGCTTTAGGCTTAAAGTTACAAACATGTGCAAACAGGTTTACTCCATATGGGAGATAACCTGGGGAACTGCTGTGGCAGCCAGCAGTCCAGTCCAGGTGATGCAGGAAGCAGACAGGACGAACAGGAAGGTCGAAAAGAGAAGAGGAAGGTAGCAGCGTGACTTGGCCCTTTACCAGGTCTGGAAAGGTCACGCCCACCTAGTAGTCACATGCAAGGAAGGATGCTCCAGGAAGGCTACTCTAGGAAGTTCGACTGGCTGGACCAAACATTCCCTTGCATGTCCACTCTAGCAAAACAAGGAATGTTGTACTTGACTGCTCCCAGTGGATTACATCCCACAAAGTGAAGCAGAGCAAATCCCCCTTGAGGAAATTTATTTCCAGTTTCCAGTTGCATCCTTGACCCAGTATTCAGTTTTTTTAAAAAGCTTTTGTTGCATCTACCTATTTCTATCTGAGCAAATTTAGGACAAGGAGAAGACACAATGCACACTTCAGGGTGGAAATGTCATTTTTGAGAAAAAATGCACAGCAGTTTGTGCTTATTTATATATTATCACGCCGATATACTGCCTTTTCCTCCAAGGAGTACATGGTTCTTTCCTCCCAGTTTTATCCTGACGACAACCCTGTGAGGTAGGCTAGGCTGAGGGGCAGTGCCTGACCCCCAAGGTCATACCTAGTGATTCTCATATGGCTGAGTACAGATTCGAATCCCGGCCTCCCACATCCTAGTCCATGGGTGTCAAACACAAGGCCCGCGGGCCGAATCCGGCCCGCCAGACCTCGTCATGTGGCCCGTGTAGCCGCCAGCCCAGCCTGCCCGCTTCCCCCTGCGAGGCGGCATGCTGTGGGCGGGGCTGGGGGGCTGGAAGGCGGGTGGTGGAGAAAGCGAAGGCGCTCCCTTCCCGCGCCGTTACTCGGCTGGCCTGAGAGAAAATTTCTGAGGCGGCGGCGGCCTTCGTCCAGGGTCGGGGGGCCATGGCGGGACTTTGCCCTCCTGGCGGCCTGGAGCATCTGGAGCTGGGGTGGCTGCGGGACCCGCCGGGCGGTGGCGGCGGAGTCGTCGTCTGCGCTTCTTCTCCTTCTCCTCCTCCTTCGTCTTGCTCGCCGTCGCCGCAACTCTCGTCTTGCTCGAGGCAGGCCTGGAGCCGGGACAACCCGGGCTTCGAGCCCGAGGAGGAGGCGGGCGAAGCGGCCAGGGCGGCTGGCGGGAGCACGGCGGCAGGGCCCGTGCTGCAGATGGGCGTGGTGGAGTGGGGCTGAGGAGGGGCGCCTTCGCCCTCGGAGCCCGACGCCCGACGCCCGGGAGGGCCCGCCGAGAGCGGGAGGCAGCGGAGGCGCAGGTGGCGTGACGTAAAGGAGGAAGGCGAAGGCCAGCGGCCTTGCTCCGCCGGAGGCGCCCCGCCGCCGCGTTTCCCTCACGAGGAGACGGGCGAGGAGGTTGCCGAGCAGCCGCCGCCGCGCCGCCTCGCCTGGGCCAAAGGGATGGCGCACCGCCTGCGAGGTGAGTCGCCGCCCGGCCGGGCCCTTCCGTCACCCTTCCCGGCTCACATCTCTCCTGTTTCACCTTATTACTTTTATGTTACTCATGAGTCTTCTGCTCTGAAGACAGATGCAAATAATCCGTTCAGCTCCTCTGCAATCTCCTTTCCCACCTTTAGCACACCTTTGATTCCCTTGTTGGCCAAAGGCTCTACCACAGACATGTCCAAAGTTCGTTTTGGAGGCCTAATCCGCCCCCTTCGGCAGTTTATGGGGTAAAATCCTCAAAAAACCCCTCAACAACTTCAACCCTAAAAAAAAAAAAGCTCAACAATTTCAATCCTAAAAACAGCGCAACAGCTTTGGTTGGCCCTCATGGCCCTGCACTTCATCAAATCTGGCTCTCCTTGAAAAAAGTTTGGGCACCACTGTCCTAGTCCAACACTCTGTTACACCACACTGCCTCTCATACATGTCTGCAATGTAAAATTTGATTCTCCTTAACCTTTCTTCTTCTTACACTGTGCCAATCTTTTGGGTAGCCTTGCCCCTCTGTTCTCCTAGGAAGCCACAGCATCCCACCTGTGGCCGAGCTGGAGCAATGGCCCCATCCCAGTCAGTCAGCAAACCACTTCTGATTGCTCCGTTTCATATGGAGACATGAAGCAGACACAAAACTGGGGGTTGAGGGTGGCGGTGGGGATTTAGCAGAGGAGTCTGTCTCAGTCTTTGGGCCAAATGCTGCCTTTCAGCACTATATTAATTTAAGAGACAGTGAGGGGAGACGGGCAGCACAGTCTGTAAGTTGTATCCCGCACTATTGCTGGATAAAATCCCTTTGGAATTTAATTTAAAGGAGCTGACACCAGCACAAATCATGTCATGGGGGTCTACCAGGGCTGGGGCAGCCTAATTCTGCACTGGCGGCACCCGCCTCGCCTCCTTGAGTCACAGTGACACCCTAAAAGGCTCCTGATCAGCCTTTAAGCCCCCGTTCCGAGCCGACTGTAATCTTCCCCTCAGTTCCTTTCTTTGGCGTCGTAAGAAAGAACATCTGCTAGAAAAATCGACCAGCCCAAGAGCTGCAATGGTGGATAAGGACTTATCAAAAAACAAACAAATAAATAAAAAATGGCAATTTGAAACAGTGGCTCGTTCTGAAAAGACGAGCCGCCTGGGTCACATGGCAATGAGAAATAGTACCCGAAGAAAGCATTGTCTCATCTGTCTACAATCTGGGGAGATTAAATATGTTCAAAGGAAACGTGCCAGTTATGGGGGAGGCAGACAAGGGAGAAGTCAATGGCAACTACGGAACGGGGTGATGAAACGTGAGAAAATTGTGTCTGTGTGGGGGTGGATGGCAGAGAGAAGGAGGGGCGAGGGGAGGAATGAAGACTGTGTAGAGGGAAAGGGAGAAGAACAAAGGAAAAGAGGAAGATGGGGAAGTAAAAGAGAGGAAGGAGAAACAGAACGCAAGAAGACCAGAGGAGATGGCCATGCAGTGCATGGTTAAACTATGGAACTCACTGCCACAGGAGGCACTGAGGGCCATTAACTGGAATGGCTTCAGAAGAGGATTAGACAAATTCAGGAAGGAGGAGAAGGCTACCAGTGGCTACTGCCCACACTGGCTATGCTTTGCCTCCGTTCAACTCCTGGAGACGTTCAAAAACCGAGGTGCAGCTTCCGATTGGCTGCAGGAGTGTCCTGCAGCCGATCAGAAGCTATGGAAGCCGTGCTGGACATTCGGCTTCTGAAAACCATTCGGAAACCGGAACACTCACTTCTGGGTTTCGATCATTAGGGAGCCGATTTATTCAGGAGCCAAGGCATTTGAGATCCAAGGTATGAATATTTTATTTGGTTTCAAGATTCAAAATTACATTTAACACTCCATAATTAAATCCTACAATACCAATGGCTTCCCACTCGCCCATCCTCAAACTGTACAAATTACATTTGTAAATGTAATTTCATATACAGGTAACTGCATTTTAAAGTACCCTCATATTGAGTTTCCTCCACTTTAACATATTTTTAAATATATTCTACTAATTCCCCCCCTCCCAAACATCAAACCCCACACTGTGGACTTCGTATATAAAGAGTCACTTTTGAAATAAACTAGAAAAGGTTTTCAGTCCTCCTTGAAAGAATCTAAGCCTGAGTCTCTTATGCAGTGCAGCGGGGTTGTTCTCATGAGGACAATGAGGATATCAGAAAGGAAGCTATGTGGTTCCTTGCACAGGACAAAGTCCTGATTAAATGTGGAAGGAAAGGGCTATAATTCAGTGGCAGAGCCCTTGCTTTGCCTGCAGAAGGTCTCAGGCAAGGTCCGGCGTCTCATTCCCTGGTATTTCCAGGTAAGGGACGCAGGTGGCGCTGTGGTCTAAACCACTGAGCCTCTTGGGCTTGCTGATTGGAAGGGTGGCAGTTCGAATCCCTGCGACGGGGTGAGCTCCCATTGCTCAGTCCCTGCTCCTGCCAACCTAGCAGTTTGAAAGCACATCAGTGCAAGTAGATAAATGGGTACTGCTGAAGAGGGAAGGTAAAAGGCGTTTCCATGCACTCTGGCACTCGTCACGGTCCTCTGTGCGCCAGTAGCGGTTTAGTCCTGCTGGCCACATGACCCAGAAAGCTGTCTGTGGACAAACGCTGACTCCCTTTGGCCTGAAAACGAGATGAGCGCCGCAACCCCATAGTCACCTTTGACTGGACTTAATTGTTCAGGGGTCCTTTGCCTTTTACCTTTATTTCCTTTTTAAAAAAATCTTTATTGGTTTAAAATTCAGACATAAAAGATCGTTTACAACAGAAACAAAGAAGAAAAAGGAAAGAAAAAAGAGTCAAGACAAAGAGAGAAAAGAAAACTTTATATAAGAGGAAACTGCATCTTCTTGAATAACAATCAACTAAAAAATTTGGACATAAAACTTCCAATCGTTCTCATTATACTGTTTATGCTGTAATTGTTTTCTTGCACAGCTTTGTGTTATATTATATTTTTTCATATACTCCAGCAAGATATTCATTACGGGTTTTTTTTACTTACAGGTATCATTCAAGTTCTGCTAGTATGATATTATTTGTAGAGTATAGTCTTAAATATTCTTTAAACATTTTCCATTCTCCATATACTTTCTGATTTAAAGCTCCTTGTGTTGTTATAATTATATCATCGGCAAATGCTCTGACTTTGTAAGATTTCTCCCCAATTGTTATTCCTTTTATATTTTCCTCTTTTCTGATATTTTGTAGAAGCGGTTCTAGAGCTAGTATAAATAACAGAGGTGACAGAGGACATCCCTGTCTGGTCCCTTTTGTAGTGGGGATGTTATCTGTAAGGTTGCCATTTATTAAAAGTCTAGCTTTCTGTTGTTTATATATTGCCTCTATTCCTTTCCTGAATTTTATTCCTAATCCCATTGATTCTGTTTTTTCATATAGTACCAAGAAACATTGTCAAATGCCTTTTCTGCAACAAGTAAAAGTAAGGCTGCCTTTTTGTCACTTTTAGCTTCTAGATATTCTAAAATATCAACAATATTTCTGGTGTTCCCCAAAATTTGTCTTCCTGGTAGGAACCCAGACTGATTTGGGTGGATAATTTCTTTAACAGCTTCTATAAGTCTGTTTGCCAATACATTGGCAAAGAGTTTATAATCACAATTTAATAGTGATATTGGCCTATAATTGGATATTGACTCTGGGTCACCTCCCTGCTTAGGTATTAGGGTTACATAAGCTTCATTCCATGAATCGGGAATTTTTTCTTGATTAAGAATATTATTCATTATTTTGGTTAGTGGTGTTATTAGCATTTCTTTCATTTTTTTTATAAAATTCCGCTGGAAGGCCATCTGAGCCAAGTGTTTTCCCTATTTTAGTTTTCTTGATTGCATTCCTGATATCTACTGCTGATATCAGGGCATCCAACATTTGTACTTTTTCTTTCTTAAACTTTGGGATTTTCTGTTGGCATAAGTAATCTTCTACTTCCTCTTCTATATCTACGTCTTTTTTGTACAGGTCTTCATAATATTTTATAAATTTTTGTATTATTACTTTAGGGTCATCTATGCTTTTCTCTCCTATGTTTATTCTAATTATTGGTTTTTCGTTATTCCTCTTTTTGAGTTGCCATGCCAGATATCTACCTGATTTATTGGCAAACTCAAAGTTGTTCTGTTTACACATTTTCAAATTCCATTCCATTTCTTGTTCTGCTTTCGACGTATATTCTGCCTGTAACAGTCTAATTTCTTTTTTAATTTTATCATTGTTTGGTTGTTTAGTTAATTCCTTTTCTTTTTTCCTTATTTCTTCCAACAGTCCCGTTTTTTACTTATCACTTTCTTTTCTTATTATCACATTTTGTTTTATAAAATATCCCCTTTCCACCGAACTGTACTGAAATTCATTATGTAATTAATTACATAATTGTGTAGAGCAAGAGAGATAACATAGGTTTTAGCAGAAGCAGAACAGTAGCTGATTGCTATGAATACAGGATGAGATGGAAATCACAGATTCTTTACATTCCTGCTGTATGAAACCCCCGAGAGTCACTGCCAGTCAGTGTAGACAGTATTGCGCTAGATGGACCAATGGCCTGACTTGGTGAAAGGCAGTTTCTTGGAAGGGCTGTGGCTCTGAGGCAGAGGATCTGCTTTGCATGCAAAGGGTCCCAGGTTCAATCCCTGATGGCACTTCCAGGTAGCGTGGAAAAGCCCCTATTCTGTAACCCTGCCAGTCAGTGTAGACAATACTGAGTTTGATGGAGCAATTGTCTTAATCGCGCTGGTACAGTGCACTGTCCTAAGTTTCCATCATGCCCTCTGTCAGTGAATGCCATGAAGATGGTGCAATTTTAGATTTTCTTTCTCAGGCACCCAAAATGTCTATTGCTAGCCCCATGTCAACTAAAACACTATCATTTTTAACTTTTTTGGGGGGGGGAAATATATGGGTGCAGTCAAGCTTTTCTGGAGTTTAACTGGCAAGAAAATGTTGCCTTGCTCTTTCATACTAATTTCTTTTCTGGAATCCAGTGTCTAGACCATGGCAGAAAAGATGATCAAGAACATGTGATGAGAACATTTAAGAAAACAAACATTATCGATACTTTGTATATAGGGCACCACAAGGGAAAAGGGAAACGTTTCAAGTCCTCCCCCCTTTTTTTGAAAAAATGGGGGGATGGGTGGGGAGAGAGAGAGAGAGTCACTTTAATTTTATCTGGAGGTTTTCCAACAATAAAATCTAATCCATCATCCTCTCTGGGTGACTGGCCTTAATGAAAATTTAGAGGCTGCGACTGAAACTTAGAATTCAGCAGGGAGGCTATTAGGAAGCATGTCTAGCAGCTCTGAGCAAGAAGTGGGACCCATTGGCCCTGCCAGAAAGTGTGAGTGTGAAATGGACAGGTTTTAATTTGGCACCCAGAATCCACAGATCACGGGAATCAAGACTTCTAGAATGTAGCTGAAGATGTCTCTGCTTCACGACTGGTAAAAAGTCAGCATTGGTGGGACTGAAAATAAGCAACTGTTGCACCTTAACGGCTAACAACTGTATTTATCGTGACATAAGTTTTCACAGTCAGAAGGGAAAACTCATTCGGCAGCTACAGAAAGGTGTAGAGATGGGAGCTGGGCCCAGGCTGCTGTGTGAAAGCTCACAAGGTCGCCATCTTGCCAAAGATAAGCCTGGAATATCAGTTGCTGGAAACCACAGAGCAGGAGAGTGTTCTTGCGGTTGAATCCTGCTTGCAGGTTTCCTACATGCATGTGGTGGACCACTGTGAGAACAGGATGCTGGACTAGATGGACCACTGTTTTGATCCAGCTGGAGTTGCCAGAAGGAGGCACCCAAAACTCCATCCAACCACCTTAGAGACTGCACTCGGGATTTGTGTAGGGTTTGCTCCTTAGCCATTTCTTCTCCCAAAGATGTCCTGCAAGGTGGCAGGTACAGATTTTCCCTTAGAGTTTACTCCCAAAGCCTTTCTCATGAATGAGCATAGCTGCAAGACAGCAGAGGTTTAGGATCAGAGTTTTCCTTCTCCTAGATGGGCTTCATTTCCAGGTTGATGAGCCCCATCTGCCCCTCACTTCCCTCTACAGCATGTGCAGAAACCACCTTCTTGACTGTTGGACTCACTATTGGTCTCGTCTGCTCAATCCACCAGAGCCTCCCTTTGCTTTCAGGGGAAGTCCCTAACTCACTGAGGGTTAGAGACTTCCTCTTCTTCTTGTTGTTGTTGAAAGACCTACATTGGCTCCCAGCACGTTTCCGAGCACAATTCAAAGTGTTGGTGTTGACCTTTAAAGCCCTAAATGGCCTCGGCCCAGTATACCTGAAGGAGCATCTCCACCCCATCGTTCTGCCCTGATGCTGAGGTCCAGCGCCGAGGGCCTTCTGGCGGTTCCCTCACTGTGAGAAGCAAAGCTACAGCAAACCAGGCAGAGGGCCTTCTCAGTAGTAGCGACCGCCCTGTGGAACGCCCTCCCATCAGATGTCAAAGCGATAAACAACTACAGTGGTACCTCGGGTTAAGTACTTAATTTGTTCCGGAGGTCTGTTCTTAACCTGAAACTGTCCTTAACCTGAAGCACCACTTTAGCTAATGGGGCCTCCTGCTGCTGCCGTGCCACCGGAGCACAATTTCTGTTCTCATCCTGAAGCAAAGTTCTTAACCTGAAGCACTATTTCTGGGTTAGCGGAGTCTGTCACCTGAAGCGTATGTAACCCGAGGTACCACTGTACCTGACATTTAGAAGACATCTGAAGTTGTTGTTCAGGGAAGTTTTTAATGTGTGACATTTTAATGTATTTTTCATCTTTGTTGGAAGCCACCCAGAGTGGCTGGGGAAACCCAGCCAGATGGGCGGGGTACAAATAATAAATAATAATAATAATAATAATAATAATAATTATAATTATTATTATTATTATTATTATTATTATCATCATCATCATCATTATCATCATCATTATACTGTCCTATACCTGGAGGTCTCAGGGTGGTTCACATAAAAGGATCACAGTATATAAAATAAAAATAAAAGCAATAACCCTATAATACCCCCACCAAAAAAGAGCCACATTTTAAAAGCGTATGGGATGTTGATCAGGTCAACCAAAGGCCTGGTTAAAAAGGAACATTTTTGCCTGGCGCCTAAAGGTGTATAATGAAGATCCCAGGTGAACTTCCCTGGGGAGAGCATTCCAGACAGGGAGCCACTGCAGAGAAGGCCTGTTCTTGTGCTGCCACCCTCTGAACCTCTCAAGGAGGTGGCACATGAAGGAGGGCCTCAGAAGATGATCTCCATGTCCATGGTTCATATGGAAAGAGGTGGTCCTTGAGGTATTGCGGACCCATCAGCTAACCTCATCTTGTTTAGCCGGCCAATCAAAGCCGTTCCCAGGGTGTGGCTGCTGTCACATGCTGACAGCTTCTAGGAGCCACAGGTGGGAGCTGAGTGCAGGGTGGGGACCCCAGAAGGGGCAGAATGTGTCCCCCACAAAGGTACTACCCCTCCCCTAACACCCCACACACCCCAGCTCTACAACTCTATGTTTGTATGCCAAGCCTATTTAAGAATATGTGTTGCATTCTAGATTTCGCAGAGACTTGCACTGCAATTCCATACACGTTGTGCATATTAAACCTTTAGTAAATTGCGCTTACAGTCCTATATACAGAAAATGCAAAGGGGAAAGACTTGCACCTCTTAGCATCGCAATAAAGAACAAAGGGCATAAATTAGTAAAAATAATAATTCTGCTACTCCATATGAGGCATATAAAGCTGTCAGCCTGAAATTTCTGCGAGACAATGAAGGAATAAGAAAACCCTGATCAGAAACCTCTAAAGCAAACTCTGTAGAAATGCTATATAAATTCAAGGAGACCCAGTTGCCCAGGTGTCAGAGAAGTGTCGGCCTCTGACTGAACCAAACACATTTTATTGCCCTCAACTGTTCTTTTAAGGTAGAGGAAATGTATTGGGCAGGGGGGCCAGGGAGTCTAAGATAGCAAGGAGTGTGTCAGAAAGCTCTGCTATTATTTCAGCTTCTTGATCGGTGCTTGCATATTAAAGGGGATTTATTGAGCTTTTGGTGGGGGAGGAGAGTGTTAGCAGATTTTTGACGGTGTTCCAACACGGCCAACATTCATCTGTTTCTCAAATCAGGAGCTCTTGGACGGCATCTTGCCGAAGTGGGGAAACATCTTCCTCCCTTGCCCTCTCCCACGCTGAACTCGTGATTTTGTTCAGCCAAATGTATGAACAGACGGAGCTGCTGTACAGCCTTCCACGGCCAGATGCCATCCAGATGGTGCTGGACTACAACTCCCATCATCCCTGATCACTGGCCAAGCTAGCTGGGGCTGATGGGAGTTGTAGTCCGAAACATCCAGAGGGTTGAGGAAGGCTGCACTGAGCTAGACTGTTGGTCTGTCTCAGGGCTGCAAAACCTGTGGTCCTTCAGATGTTGCTGGACTACAAATACCATCATCCACTGACTTGGTCCATGCTGGCTGGGGTTGGTGGGAGTTGGAGTGCAGCAATGTCTGGAGGGCCACAGGTTCGCCACCCCTAGTCTATCTAGCAACTAGATAGACCAGAGGTTTGGCTTAGTATATTGTTGTTGTTGTTTAGTCGTTTAGTCGTGTCCAACTCTTCGTGACCCCATGGACCAGAGCACACCAGGCACTTCTGTCTTCCACTGCCTCCCGCAGTTTGGTCAAACTCATGCTGGTAGCTTCGAGAACACTGTCCAACCATCTCGTCCTCTGTCGTCCCCTTCTCCTTGTGCCCTCCATCTTTCCCAACATCAGGGTCTTTTCCAGGGAGTCTTCTCTTCTCATGAGGTGGCCAAAGTATTGGAGCCTCAGCTTCAGGATCTGTCCTTCCAGTGAGCACTCAGGGCTGATTTCCTTCAGAATGGATAGGTTTGATCTTCTTGCAGTCCATGGGACTCTCAAGAGTCTCCTCCAGCACCATAATTCAAAAGCATTGGCTTAGTATAGCCTTCCCTATCCTGGTTACCCTCCAGATGTTCTGGACTATGGCTCCCATCAGATTCTAGTTCAATGCTCCTACTGGTGGTAGCTTTCCAGGGTTCTGGTCAGAGAGAAATCTCCAGCTTGCTGTCTGAATATCCTTAAACTGGATATGCTAGAATTGATTCTGGGGTCTTCTGCAAGCACAGAATGTGCATCTAAGGCAGGAATGGGAAACCTGTGACCACCCCCAACTGTTGCTGAACTCCATCTCCCATCAGCTCCAGCTAGCATGGTCAATGGCCAAGAATGATGGGATTTGGAGTCCAGCAACCATTGCAAGGAACATCCGAAGCTGCCTTATATTGAGTCTGACCACTTGACCACCTAGCTCCCTATTGTCTACACAGACTGGGTGTGACTCTCCTGGTTTTTGTGCAGGAAGTTCATGGAGCCCTGCCTGGAGATTCTGGACCTGGAAAGAGAGTGCTGGTCTGTAAAGAAGATTCAGACACCACCTGAAAGCAAAGACCCTGCACCATTTCTTCTTGCCAGCCATCCAAAAATAAATTACGGACTTCTGCCTCTTCTTAGGACATCCTCAGCAAAGGGGACCACAGTTCAGATCCTGTCGTCTCCAGCCAGGGCTGTGAGAGACTCACTGCCAGAAACACTGGCAAGTCATGGCCAATCAGTGTAGACCATA